CCTGTCCTAGGTCCTGAAGGACTCTACAGGTAGTCCTCGACTTAAGACCACCATTGGGACGGGAACTTCTGTCACTAAGTGAATGCAGTCATTAAGTGAGTTGTGCCCAATTTTACACCCTTTTTCCTCCATGGTCATTAAGCGAATCACATGGTTGTTAAGCGAATCCAGCTTTCCCCATTGACTTTGCTTGTTGGAAGCCCCCTGGGAAGGGAGCAAATGGCAATCACGTGGTGCCAGGATGCTGCAACTATCATAAATACATGCCAGTTGCCAAACGCTCAAATTTTGATCCCATGTCTGTGGGGATGCTGCGACAGATGTAGGTCACTTTTTTCAGCACTGGCGTAACTTCAAACAATCATAAACAAATGGCTGTAAGTCGAGGACTACCTGTACTGTTCCTTCCTTTGCAATCCTACAGGGCTAGATATGACCTTGCCCTTCCCATTCAGCATTCCTAGAGGACCCTTCAGCCAAGCTAAGGCAGGACAGCGTGATGGATGTTCCTTCAAATCCTCTCTTCCTTTCCTTTACCTCCCTTCCCTTTGCCACAAATATTTTTGGCCCAAATCCCCATTGCTTTCAGGTTTTGTAGGGCTTCTGCTAAATCCTTGGCGCTAGCCAGCCAACTGCACAGAAGCTAAATAAATCCTTGCAGCACAGAGATTAAAATTCCCCCCTCTCCAACACGTAGAGACAGTAAACTCATTAAGTAGCTGCCTTCATCAACTCAAAGCAGGAGTAGAATTACAGTTTCATGAGAGGTCGTAGGTTCAACCATAAGCACACATGGTCTGCACATAACAATGGTTCCTAAAACAGTTGTTTACAAACATATTGCCTGGCTCTGCACTCATCCTCTCTTTGTTGCTTCAGGCCCTCTGAAGTTGCCCTCAGTGGCACCAAACTTTGCTGTACCCTTCATTAAAATTCCACCCTGCAAGATTTTGACCCGGGTCAACTGAGTCAAAGCAGATATACCTCAGCAGCTCACAGAACGTTACTCCTTCCTCCGTAATCACTGGAAAAGTTCAATAGGGGAAAGGTGAAAAGTCCCAATTAAGATGGGAAAGCCTCACCAGGATCGTCGATGGATTTTTTGAAACACCTGATTACTATAATGATGAAATATTCATCGTGATAAAGATGCCCCAAGTGCACCAGGAGTGCTGAAATGGGTAGGAAGGTGGGGATGTGGGGGTTCCACTGATATAGCAGGCATTCAAATGTGTTTCAGGGGTCGGGGTGAGGACATCTCAAATCAGAGATATTTTGCCCGCTGGTTTTGTGGATGGATCTCTGGGCTTTCAAGGACATGGCTTCAGTGCCGCCCTGGTGACACAAATGAACACGCGGAAAGGCATTCTGGAAATCTCCTACCTTTAGCAACAGAAGCTTGATGCAATTGCTTCAGCTAGCTAGAAAACACCTGGCCAATTCAAAAACCATGCATTCAGAATTTTGGAAAGTTTCCCTCGCAGCTTAAAGTAATATAGTGTCGGAAAGGGATTTCTTTCGAATTGCTTGGAATGGTTCAGTTCTTTAATAATAAACGGGTTAGCCTTCTGGATGAAAAACCTCTTTATAAATATTGTATTAAAACCATCGTGCAAAAGGATGCCTGTGACCACAGTGTTTCCAAAAAGATGGCATGAACCAATGTGAGGAACTACCTGGAACAATGTTTCTCAACCTTGGCCACTTTAAGATGCGTGGACTTCATTCCCAGGATTTGTCACAACTTCGAACAGTCGTTAAATGAATGGTCATAAGTCGAGGACTACCTGTACTGTTTCTTTCTTTCCAATCCTACAGGGCTTGATATGACCTTGCCCTTCCCATGAAGCATTTTTTAGAGCAGTCTCTCACAGGACCCTTCAGCCAAGCTAAGGCAGGACAGTGTGACGGATGTTCCTTCAAATCCTCTCTTCCTTTCTTTCCATGCTGGCTGGGGAATTCTGGGAGTTGAAGTCCACCCGTCTTTAAGTTGCCAAGGTTAACAAACACTGACCTAGACAGAACAGCCCCACAACTTGCCAGATTTCTGTGCCTGGTTGGGAAACCAATAAATTACTTAATAGCTCACAGAAACGGTGCTAAATTCAGATATACAACGGAACCTCGGTTTACGAACTTAATTCGTTCCGTGACTAGGGTCGCGATCCGAATTGGTCGCAACCTGAAGCAAATTTCCCCATAAGGTTCAATGTAATTACCGTTAATCTGTTCTGGCGTGGAGGACAGGGAGGCAACTATTGCTTGGAGGGAGAGTCCCTCTCCCTACGACCACGTGTCAGGGGCGGAAAAATGGCCGTGGACCACGTGTCGGGGGCGGAAAATGGCCACGGACCACGTGCCAGGGGTGGAAAAATGGCTGCGGACCACGTGTCAGGGGCGGAAAAATGGCTGCGGACCACGTGTCAGGGGCGGAAAAATGGCTGCGGACCACGTGTCAGGGGCGGAAAAATGGCTGCGGACCACGTGTCAGGGGCGGAAAAATGGCTGCGGACCACGTGTCAGGGGCGGAAAAATGGCTGCGGACCACGTGTCAGGGGCGGAAAAATGGCTGCGGCCCACGTGTCGGGGGCAGAAAATGGCCGCGGACCACGTGTCGGGGCGGAAAATGGCCGCAGACGTGTCACGGGAGGGAAAATGGCCGCGTATCCTGTTCGTACCCCAAGGCGGAGTTCGCAAACCGAAGCAAAATTTTGCGGCCGGAGCTGGTCGTAATCCGAAAAGTTCGTTAACAGAAGCGTTCGTAACCCGAGGTTCCACTGTAGTTACACGGGGATCTTGCTTTGTTCTGATGAAACCTGTATCTTTATTCCCAGATATATTTTGGGAAGGGGAGAACTCCAAGTCTAACTCCGATGCAGCAAGCGCAGGCAACCCCATGCCACGTGGAAAGGCAAGGGCAACACATCAGCAGGGACAAAGCATTCAGGTTCAAGCCATGAAACCCTTTCATAAGTCTAACTCACCCCTTTGTTAAGAAGGGGAATGTAAAGCGGGCCTCGAAGGAAAAGAAGAATCCAAACGGCCAATTTATACAAAGGACCTCACAGCAGGGGTGAGAACCTGACCCCCAGGCGCGGCAGAACTACAATTCCCCAGCAGCCCCAGCTAGCAGGAATGATGGGAGTTGTAGTCCAGCCACATCTGGAGAGCCGCGGCCTCGCCCTCCTGTCCTTGCTGTGAATCGCTGCCGAACAGACTCAGATGGACACCGTCATGGTTTGAGGATCTGGGGAGAAGAGGCTGAACTGGTTTGCCTATTAGCAGAGAGAAAACTGGCACTGCCAACCCCCGAACGCAAGGGCTGGAACAGCCAACCCCGAAATGGGCCCATCGAGAAATCTCTCCTTTGCTTACCGTGTGGGCTTTCATGGTGCTGTTCGACACGCTGTTGGAAAACTGTGGAATTCTCAGATGGAGGCTTTGGAGGACGTACGTGGTCTGCATCTGTGAAGTTAAAAGGAATTATTGCTCGGCTCCACCGGCATGCAGCGTTTACAAAACCCAGAAGGATAAACCCTTCTTTGTAACAGCTTATAATCAGCTGACCAATTTTAGCCCAGACAACTCATCCCTGAATGAATCAATGCATTTCTTCCATGGTTTATTCATCCAGGGACTTCTAAAAAAGGAATGATTTGTTTTATCGAACATTTATTTATTAAATGTATATAGCCGCCCATCTGAACTATTATTTTTATTCAGCTGATATGCCCACCCCACTCAGACGCATGACTCCGGGCTGCTCACAAGGATCAAAAACAATAAAAGCAAGATTAAAAAGCACCCTAACAAAAGAATAAATAATATAGCTGTGGCCTGTCGGCCCCCATCTCTTCCACGCGGCACTCTGGACTAAATCCATCCTGCGATCCTGAAGGAGCGCAGCACCAAGCAAAGAAACACATTTCTCAGCTTTTAAAACAAATCAAGTTCCTAGCCCTTATGCACAGAAAGAAAGCCTCCCAAATGGGCATGAGCAAAGCCAGGGCCATAAAAGAGAATTTTCCCAGAATATGGATTGATTCCAGCGGTCTAACTGGAACTTTGACCAACTGTGCTAGATTAGATCCATGGCCTAGCTAATTCAGTCTCCTGTTTTTGCAAAAAAATAAAAATAAAAATAAATCAGCAGTTGTGCACAGACCCCCATCCTGGTCAGGCTAATATCTAATTTTCTCCAGATATTTTGCAGATAGGTTGGGCTACACAGAAAATAATCAAAACATAACCACAATTCATCCACCCACCTGAAAATAGACGGTCCAGTACGGAATGAGAGCCAAGAAGACCGGGATGATTTTGACTAAGGCTTTCACGTCTTCCACTTTGTCTTCTCGGAAAGGACCCCCGTGAGAGGCTTTGGCCGCCTCGAAAAGGCTGTCTTTGGAAGGCTGATGCTGGGGAAGTACCCCTTGAGTGCCCCTTTGAAAAGAAAAGGAAGAACTATTCTGTGGTTTCCCCCAACGGCGCCACCCCAAGGCTGTGGATCTGGTGTCTTTTAAGCATGTTGGGGCTACCAGGTCCCAAGGGGAATAGTCAATCTATTCACGGAAGGGTGGAAGGGGACATACTGTTTTTAATATTGCTCTTGGGTCACGGAGAGGAAACCATGCGAGCACCGAGGGTACAAACCAAACATTTAAAGCCTTTCAAATTTGGGGAAGCTTTTTCTTGAAAAATGTCAAATGCTTGCATGAAGCTTATCAGGTGCTCTGCACACTTATCTGGTGGGAAGAGGAGGGAGGGAAGGAAGGAAGGAGAAAGAAAGAGAGAGGAGGGAGGGGAGAGAAGGGAAAGAGGGAAGGGAAGGGAAGAAGGAGAAAGAGTGGTAACGGAAAAAGGGAAGGGAGGGAGGGAGGGAAGGAAGGAAGGAAGGAAGGAAGGAAGGAAGGAAGGAAGG